AACGTACACGAGGGTTAGGAAGAGCTGAGAGCTGAAGGTGGTCGACCGTCACGGTCGACCGCGTGGACCCTGCAGGATTTTTGGGCTTTGTCGTTTGGTTCGGTTGACCGTCGCGGTCGACCGTGAGTTTCCTGTAGCTGATTTGTTCTATGTCAGAAGTGTTCGGTCGACTGTCGCGGTCGACCGTGGTACCTGCGCGGTCGACCGCAGGCTGTTTTGGGCTGGGCTTTGGGTTTTCAACCCGGTTCGTTTTGGAGCTGATATATAACTCTAATCCTGATTAGTTAGGGTTAAGCAAGGACGATTTTGAGCAGTCTTTTGGAAAGAATTGTTGCATCCAATTGTGAGAGATTTGTGAGAGATCTAGAGCTTTGTTTTAGGGTTTGATCGGTGAGATTTGTAGCTCTATTTGTATTCTCTTGATTTCTAATAGTAAGAACTCCCCCCTCCTTGCCCCGTGGATGTAGGCAACTTGCCGAACCATGTAAATAGTTTGTTTTTGCTGTGATTGTAATTTGCTTAGTGGTTGTGATTTATCTCGAGTTATTGTTCGTGTCGCTTCGAGAACTTCCGCCGCGCACAACAATTGGTATTATAGCTTTAGGCTTGTTCGAAAGATTTGGTGAAGATTCCTATCTGAAGAGTTAGATCGACAACATGGGAGAAGCAAGCACATCAGGTTCGTTTCTTATGAAGGCGATACAGAGTCTGAACATCAATAACACGAATATTAATGTTCTGAAGTTCGATGGCAAGATCAATTTTGGATTGTGAAGGTGTCGGGTGATGGACGCCTTGGATGCATAGAATTTGGAGGAGACACTTGAGTTAAAAGAGAAACCCGCTGATATGGAGAATAAGATTTGAAGGAAGATGAACAGTAGAGCTTGTGGTGTTATTAGGTCATGCTTGACGCCGGATCTTATTTTTAATGTTATGAACGAGACGTCGGCTAAGAAAATGTGGGAAACACTCAATGAGAAGTATCTTACGAAGAGCATTGAGAATCAGCTTCACTTGAAGAAGAGGTTTTACCGGTTCAAGATGAAAAGGGGAGTTTTGTATGTAGAGAAAATTGTAAAGAAGAGAATAAAGAAAATGTGACTTTGATTCCTTTGATCTCGGTTACAACTTGATTACAAAAGAGAGGAAAACGAATTTGGTTTTCCCCTTTGTTTAAAATTGGGTTCTTCTTGGCAGCGATGGAGTGCTTCCTTCGATTGATTGCGTCGAACTTGCTCTCCGTTGACGATCCGACCGTCTTTATCTCGTGGGAACGATGAACTTTCGTGGAAAGTTTTATGAATAACTCTGAATGAGTTTAAGAACTCTGAACGAGTTTGAACTCTGTGAGTAGAGTTGTTGGAACCGAAAATTCGGTTAATGATCAAGCTGTCATTCTGTTGCTGACGAATCCCCTCAGATTTGATCTTCTGAGATTGATTCAAAAATCCTATCTTTAAGGATTTCGTTGCTGCCAAATCTCCAAACCCGAGTGGTTTTTATCCTTGCTAAATCTTCTGTTTTCAAAGAGCCAGCCGCCAGCCGCCAGCTCAATTGAGTTTGTTGAGCTTTTATAGGGGGATAAGAGGTTGTAACTGACCCCTATATCCGCTCCTACGTGGGTGAAAACCCCTCAGAACGTGGGATAAACGGTTTTGGAACCGTTCGACTTATGTTTGAACAAGTCAAACGCCCATTCTGGCGTTTAGAACTCAACTTCGTGTTCTTTGAATTGAGACGCGAAGTTGGGTGTTAGCTGAACACCATTGAACGCGAGGGTCGCTCGCGTTTGGCTTGTGCATTGTCGACGCGAGGGTCGCTGTTGGTTGAACACCATTGAACGCGAGGGTCGCTCACGTTTGGCTTGTGCATTGTCGACGCGAGGGTCGCTGTTGGTTGACGACGCGAGGGTCGCTATGGCTTGACGACGCGAGGGTCGTCGTGGCTTGACGACGCGAGGGTCGCCTTCATTTCCAAAGTTATGACGCGGGGATGACACCCGCGTTTCAGAAGGAGTTAGCTGATTTGTAACTTCTTCTGTAGAGCGTTGCAAGGACCGTTGTTCAGTAATCCTGACTTTTAGCTGTTGGGGAGTGTGAAAGTCGTCAGATCGTAACTTTCACTGCAGATTGTGAAGACTGCTGAATAGGGTTTTTGTTTGTGGTGATTGTGGAGTTGCGGATGCAGTGATTGGGAAGTCGTCTGATTGTGACCTCCATTGTCGGAGCTTGTTTGAATAAGCTATCTATTGTGATTTTTAGACAGCCTACAGAACCCCCTCCAAAGTTTTCGAAAGTTCGCGGTTGGCTGGGACGAATTTTCGGAATACTTTGGATCCCAAAATTTGGTGGATTGATTGCTCACTCCGTTTGATCGGGCCAGATGATTTCGCCGTTGTTGATTGTGATCTATCTGTACTCCTCCAATAGACTCCCCAGTGGAGTCGTTTGTTTCTTCCCGGCTTTATTCGCCTTGATGATTGCTGTTAGCTCTTCTGTTAGTTATCAGGGGCCGTGTTGTAGCCTTGGTAGTCAAGAAGTTGCTAACATAGCGGTCCAAACACAGAGATAATTTCTGCCTTTGGGGATTGGAACGCGTGGGTGAGCCCAGCGTTGAGAATTTTGAACGCGAACGTGAGCCATCGCGTTTGGAAGCTCAACCAACTCGAACGTGAGGGTCGAGTTTGGGCGGGATTCTGGCCTCGAATCCCGTCCGTTACGATTCGATAGCTCATAGCTGTCTATAAATAGACCGCCAGAGGTCAAATCAAGAGTCATTCGATTCTTCTTGAAGCTTTAACGAAAAATCTTCGTTCTCTCCGGTGAACACTGCTCATCTCCTCCGATGAGATTCTATGGCGCCCAAGAAACCAGTCGCTTCCAAATCTGATGCCGCTGTGGCTCGAGGATCTGCCTCGTCAGCGCCGGCCGGCGGCGCTGCTGCTCAGGCGGATGCGCCGCCCCAACTCCCTTTGATTGGCGGTGAGTATGACCTCCATGGTCATTAAACTTGCTTCGGCAAGTTCTGATCTTGAGCTCAACGAGGAAACTCATTTCAATAACGCGGGGCTTGACTCTGTCGTTTCATCTTTCTTGACGCGGGGGTCGACCTGCGCGTCTGAGATTGTTGACGCGAGGGTCAACCTACGCGTCTGAACTTTCTGACGCGGGGGTCGACCTTCGCGCGGATCCCATCCATTGGCTCCAAAGCCTCGGCCAACTGACGAGCAAGACGTTGACGTCGTCTTTGTCGTGCTCTCTTTGACACTGCGGGGGCGTCTTCGGCAGAAGAGGAGTCTGGATCTGCGATCTCGATCACGTTGGACGACGCGGGGACATCACGTGGTGCAAGTGCAGAGGCGGCAACGGGGTCTCGGATTTTTGAGCCGAAGGACCTGCAATCATTTATGAAAGAGGTTACCTTTCTGTACCCGTTTGGAGAGGCGGATCTGGAGGAGGAGGAAGAGAGGCCTTCTTTGAACTGTTGTTGATCGAGCTCGCGTTCTTCATTCGCCCCGATCTTGAGTGCTGGCTGCGTCACGACGGCGTCGGTTGCGATGCCGTTGGCTCCCACTGTGGTCGCCAGCTTGTTTGCGGAAAAAGTTGCTGTATTCATTGCTGCATTCATTACAACTTCAATCGTTACAATGAAATAAAAAGATAGCCTTTTTATAAGACCGGTACACAATGAAAACAAAATAGATACAACTCTACCCAAGCTTCTTCCGACACTCTTAGGATATTGGTTTCGGACGCTCGACTTGAAAGCCCAAGCCGTAGGCCAATAGTCAAACCTGGATACCTCTTCGGGGACTTTGTTGACTTCGACGCAAGCACTGCGTATGATGGGGATTATAAGTGGCTGCGGAAAGTTGAGGACCGCAACCTTTTCTTGCCCAATATGGAGAGGATGTTTCCTATATCTTATTTTCAATGTGCTTCTGTCCCGAGGCGTATGGATTGGCCCATGGTTAAGGATCAAGATGGGGTTGCTCTCGGAACTCTGACTTTCTATGGGGTCCGCACCGTTGGTTATAATCGGCAGGTGACAGCTTTACGGCCGAGTTTATTTGCTAAGGAGTATCCCCTTGGCGAAGTACCCAGTCCGGCAAAGACCTTCGTTAAGAGGTTCTTGGAAAAGAAAGGAGAGTTTCCCGCGTAAGGATTTAGAACTCCTGGCTGGGTTCATTCTCCGGCGACGGGATGGTGGGCCCAGATGACCAAGTTTATTCTGAAAGAGTTGGAAGCCCCTCTTACCCAAGCCGGATTGCTGGTTTCTGTGCGGGCTACTGAGTTCGGGATTATCCAGAGCCACTTTCACTTCTTCTCCATACTGGAGAAGTATAATCCTGATAGTTGCACTTTCTTCACCCCTGTGGGGGAGCTAGGCTTCGCCCTTCACGAGATGCACGAAGT